GGCCAGTGGCAGAAGTTTGCTTTGCCCGCCTGGGACAGCCCACTTTCAGCTTATTTGCTAACTCTTGGCTTGCTGAGTTCTCCGCACTGTCTATCCACTGTCCACCAAGGGGCCTGGCCACCGCTCCCTTTTCTCGAGCTGTGTACTTTCAACCAATTTTGAGCAGCCCCATTTCAGATTGGCCTTTTTATGTTTGATATAAAGAATAGTTGTTGGCCAATTTCATCTTTTCATCGCTGTTCTCTAGGCCTGAATCCAAGCAGTTTGTCAGATGCTCATTAACTCCCCCTTTGGCTCTTTCTAGAGTGTCTCCTAAGCTCCTTGTGCCAGGAACCAACGCTTTCTTTTACACGATTCTCTTTCTCTGCTCCATCAGGGAGACAAATCACTTTCCAAAAGGGATCGCCAGGGATGGTTTAATGAGAATTTCTTTGGGGCTAGGCATGGAACGCAATGTAGTTAACATTCGGTGGACTTAATTGGACTTTTCTTTTCTGCCTCTTTTAAAAAAAATCTGAAGCTATCCTGTTAATCTCTCATTTGTAATCAATTGTGTTGACTAAACAAAAGTCTAGGTCGTCTTTTCTTCCTGTCCCAGACAATCCTTTGTTGCCTCTAAATGCCTCCTTCTTGAGTGATCCTGGTCGTGTAGATGGGCCCGATTGTTGACAGTTCATTATTGCGCTTTTGTCCATTTAATCTTTCTTGCTGTGTTTTGCATGTGCATGCCTTAATGAGCTCCGCTGGCAATTAACATGTTTCTAGGAGCAAACTGGTTGCTCAGACGTTTGAGAGGGAAGTGCAGGGAAAAGGGCAACGCAGCTGCCTTGAGGTGGTTTGTTTCCCAGCGTTTTCTCAAGGCTCTGGTCCTCTCCTTGGCAGCCCCCACCTCCCCTTCCCGGCCCTTTTCTCCTGTCCTTAGGCCCATTTACCTCCTGCACACCTAGGCACCAGGCTCAGGCTACTCCTGGGCTAGGGCTGGCAGCCCCAACCTTGTCTTGGGGCACACAGCAAAATGGGGCCCTAACAGACCCACTGCTGCAGCCCTGGCATGGACCAGCATGGTCCCCCCCCCAAAAAAAAATGTGTCTGCATGCTGGCAACTCCTCTGTGTCACTCTCCACAGAGAGGAACCTCTAACCCGCCTAAGGCAACAGGACTGTACAATCTGTTATGTACAAGGCTGTGGCTTTGGAAGAAGGCGCTTTTTTTTTTTTTTCTTTTTTTTTTTTTTTTGAGTCTTGCTGGCAAGATTGCTGAAGTGTGAGCAGTCACGGACAGAACAAACATCTTGTAGGGGAAAAGATAATTGGAGTCTTTTTTTGTGTCTGTGACAGGATTCCCCTCCCCCACAGTTTGGTTTAAAAAAATTTTTTTCAGGGTGGCCCCTTCAATTTAATCAAGGTTAGAATATTAATATGCAGCTGATGACTACCTTGTTTAAGTCATTTATTAATATTGTAAACCACGAGTCATGCAAACAGTTTAGTATTAAGCAGGAAGAAAATCAGAAAACAGAGCCTTTCACCCATCAATTCCGATGCATGTTGAATAACTAAGAAGGATTCCAGTAAGATGGTTACTGAAAGGAAGGGATGGTTACTATGTGGGCTTCAGAACCCGTGCTGGCGGTGTGAGGTGTGTACCATCTCAGGCAGAGGGTCCTTGTTCTCCTGGCATGAGTTTTCAGGTGAAGTCATCCTTCCCTGAATCCCACACCGGAGAGGAACAGACATCTCAAACCCAGGAGCTTACTTCAAGCCCAAGGAAAGCAGAACTAACCCCTATAGCTGCAGAACTGTTTACCTACAATTACTGTGGGATGTGAAATAGCACCTTCTCAGGTGAGAGCGATTGACAGAGGCTGGTGTGAAGGTTAAGTACCAACCAGTTACCAGCAAACAACCTCCAGCAGATTGGAGTAGGAAGGATCTCAGCACAGGTCTACCCCGAGAAAGGGTCCCTCCTGCCTCCAGGGATGAGCAGTCCAACAGAGAAAGGCCTCCTCCTCTACCTGCAAACTGTATTTGCCCCTCCTCTTCGAGGAAACAATTCCCACAGCTCTTCAGTACCATCAACCTGGAAACCGAATTTTCCACTTAAGGAAATGAGTGACCCTTTTAGCTCTGTCCTGTAACACTTGCTTGATTAAACTTCCTCAAAAAAGTTCTCTCACCTAAGGAAAGTTGGAGAGGTCTCTTTCAGTATCCTGTGACCCCGCCTCCCCCCCCACCTCCCCGCCTTGCGGTGTTTTGTTTTGTTTTTTTTGAGACAGGGTCTTATGTATTTCAAGCTGACCTTGAACTCACTATGTGGTCCAGGCTGATCTGGAACTCATGACGACCCTCCTGCCTCAGCCTCTGGAGTGCTGGGATTACAGCCCTGCCCGCCACGCCCAGCCTATTTTTTTTCTTAAGAACTTGACTCTGATTTCCACGTGCAGGCCAACTACCCTCCCCGGCTTCTCTAAACGGATGCCGGGGCACTAGCTTTGCGCTGTGGGCCTTGCCTGGCCTCCTGCAGCTGAGAAGGCGGGCTTGCCGTTGATTTCCTGCTCTCCTAGAAGAACACCTGAAAAGGACCCTCTTGGGAAAAAGGAAAAGATCTAAGTGGAGGCCACTTTCACAGAGTGGTCAGATGTCCCAGCATTGAAGAGATGCTGTGTGCGAGTTGGGTGTTGATCTCTCAACCCTGACGCAGCCTCCGGGGTACAGATGTCAGAGAACCGAGGCATCCGCATCCTCAGTCCCTCTCCCCCTAGTCCTTCTCACCCATCCTGGGGTTTCCTGGTCTTTATCTGCGCACTGCGATTTTGGAGTTAAATCTGCATATTGCTTTGGGTCCCAGTCTCCCCGCAGGGAACTGCAGCCAGAACGAGATAACATTTAAATTCCCCCTCGCTTCCTCGTCCCCCTCCCCTGGCTGTGCCTTCCCAGACTTGGGGGGAGGGGGGGAAGCAATACAAGAAAACGAGGACGCTCTCCTTTCAGGAAATGGAATTCTAATGTACGCGTTCCTATTTCTGAATCGGAGGTACTAAAAATACTCCGCGACAGCCTGAGGAAGCTGTCGCGGGCCTCTGTGCAAACAAAATCGACAATTCTTCCCCGCGCAATGGGTCTGCGAATTGGGCCGGAGGCCGAGGACAGAACCGCAGACCGAGATCCGGACAGGGCTTGAGCCCTACTTCCCAGCTTCCCTCTGGGGCCCCAATTTCGAGATTTCGCTCCCACCAATTAGAACCGCAGGCTCCTCGTGTTTCCTGACTACCCGAGTTCGAATACCCGCTGGGTTTTGCTCGTCTGCCGACCCTCGGTAGGACTTGCAGCTGGTCTCTGCCTCTTTCTTTGCGAGGAAAGTGGGTACCTCGTTGCCAGCTGCAGGGCGTAGTCCACAGCCCAGGGAATGTGTTCAGGGCCTTGCTCAGGAACTGCAAGCCACCGGGGTTCCAGGCACCGAGCGCCTGGTGAATAACCGCGCTCGAGGGGTGAACCGGCTTTCAACTCACTTTCAGAGTTGCTGGCTGGGGGCGCCGGGGGGGTGTCCCTTTGCATTAGCCACCCTTCTTTCCCTGTAGATCCCCACCCCGTGGAAACCCGCTTGGGGTTTGTGCCCCGCGATCGCTGACCCGCTGCTGGGGAGGCTGCGTGGACACCGACTCCCTGGCCCCGCGCCGCAGTTCTCCTGGCGCTGCAGAACATTGTTGCAGAAGACGTGGGGTGAATCGCAGCGCAGATATTAAAAGTGTGTTGGGGGGGGCGACGCCCGGCTCGACGCGCCAGTAATCCGAGCTCTTGATTATCCAGATTCGGATCAAACGGGGCAGTGGCGGCCGGCCCCCTCCTGGGAATGATTAGATGATTAATGTAATGCTGTTTGAAGGGTCTCTGTTTTCTCTTAATTTGGGTCATTACTTAGAAAGCAAGCGTGAGATCATTTCATCAGCGCGCTCGGCGGCGGAGATAGCTATTCAGGAAATGGGCTCACTGAGCAGTAATCAGAACCCGAGAGACAACGGCGGCGAAGTCGGGGAGCCCGGCGCGCCCTCCCGCGGCAGGGCACAGGGCGCCGGACCAGGAGGGCGGCCTGGTAGCCCAGGAATTCTGGCTGGGCTGGGGACTGTCACCCTCCTCCTCCCGCCGTCAAGGGAGGTGGGGGACAAAGGTTGCTTTCTCTAGTAAGTCGCCTAGAGAAGGAGCCGTGCCCAGGAGCACCCGGGCGAGGTTCTGCCAGGCCTTTCCCAGTTCCACTAGCCACTGCTCCGGATGCACCCCAAAGCGACACCCCGCCACAGCTACTGTTAGCCCTTGACAATATTTTCTCACTCAAATAAGGCAACACCCAGAATCCCAAGCGCCTGATCCACCAAACATAAAAGGTGGAACCTGCGGAGGACGAGGTAGGCCTTTTTGCTCTTGCTCCTGGGCCCCTGAACACAAGCACAGCACAAACACTGCTTGGGACTCCCCCTGGTCACACTGCTCCAAAGCCGCCTCGCGGAGGGGAAATACTAGGGGTGTCTATTTGTTTATAGTTGAACTGACCTGGCTGCGAGGGGAAGGGGGCGGGGAAGAAGACGCGCACTAATGCTTCTGTTTATTGAGTCACATGTGTGTATATATTCCGTGTGCGCGTGTACAGGAGGAATTACATGGCGGTATAAAGTTGGCTGGGGATTCCGTGCTCCTCCCGGGCGCTCACGGTGACAGGCTGGGGTTAAAAATCAGCCACTCGAGAAGAAGCCGAGGCCTGGGATTAAATACGATTCCACGCACTGAATTTAAATAAATTTCCTGAATATACAAAGGTGGGAACCACGCATTTGTTGCCAGTCATCGAGGAAACGTTTAACTTTGCAAAAATACGCAGGTTTCGATAAATAGATTTTAGCCTCTCTGCTATAGTTTTTTTTTTCCCTTTTAATTTTAGAAATAAGTTTATACTGGTGATCTGTTTGGGGGCGGTGGAGGACGGGAGGAGGGCAAGGCAGTAGCTCTCTCTCAGCTCTGCACTGTCCTGGTCAGGTCCTTTGCGGAGGGAGCGGCGGGGCCCACGCTGTCGTGGAGCTTGCGCACATGTTTCTTTAAGTCAAAGTTTCTGCAAAAGCCTTTGCCGCAAGTGGCACACGTGAAAGGTTTCTTGTCGTTGTGAGTGTGCATGTGGAAGGTCAGATTGTAGACCTGGTGGAAGGCCTTGTTGCAGATGGTACATTTGTACTGCTTCTCGCCGCTGTGGGTCAGCTTGTGGTTCTTGTAGTTTCCTACAGGAGACCAAACACAAAATAAAAAAAGTAGGGGTATGGAGTGGAATGCAGGGGCCAGGGCGTCCCGGGGCCGGCGAGTCCCGGGCCGGCTCAGGTGCCAGAGCAAAGAAGGCGACGCTTGGATAGGCGGGCGCGACCTCTTCGAGTAAAAAAGTTGTCAAACTTCGTTTGCGTCAAGCCCAGCACTCTGGGGAGGACCAGGGCAGCCCTGCGGAGCCTGCCCGCGCCTGGCCCCACGGCTTCCAGGGCGGGCGAAGCGTCCCTCCCCGCGGCGCTGCACAGACAGGCGTACTGGCCTTCCCCTAGCTAACTGCCTCGCTCGAAGAAATTCGCACGAACCCAAGCTCCGTGCCTTCTTCCCCAGTTCATCTTTAATGTTACTGTGCCCCCCCATCACCACCTGGAGATCCAAAAGTGCTTAGCAGAAGCCTAGCCTGGGATAGTGTCGGCGACAATGAGGTCTACATTCTTTACCCTGAATCTTTACCCTGAATCCCAGGAGATAACGTTTTGCCTAGAATTTTTTCTTTTTCATTTGAAAGAGAGAGTGATGATAAACACAGAACCTCTCTCCTTTCCCTTGTCCCTTCTGCCTTCTTCCTTTGATCAGACCTCTCAAATCCACTCTCCCGGTGCACCCCGCCCAGTCCAGTAAGGTCTACTTAATCTAGTGGGGAGAGCTTTCATCTACATACCGCATAGAACCCGATTCCAGAGAACTGCAGCGCCTTAGCCTGAGGGCTTCCGTGCTGCGTCCACCACCGCCCCCACCTTTTTGCCTTTCCCCCAGCCAAGACCCGCTGAGCCCGGAGATGGGGTGAGCAGAAGGCCGCGTTGGGCACGTTACCTTTTTGGTGAAAGCCTTTGCCGCAAAATTCGCAGACGAAAGGCTTGTAGCCTGCGTGGATGCGGATATGCGTATTGAGCGTGGAGCTGCGGTTGAAGGCTTTGCCGCACTGGTTGCATTTGTGCGGCTTTTCCTGCAGAGAGGGATGCGCATTCAGTCAAGCTCAGTGAGACATTGGCCAGAGTGGCCACCCCGGGACCCTTGAAGAGGCATAGCATCCCCAACAAGGGTAAGGGAGGTCCTTGGCCATCCTCTGACCCAGTGCTGTCGCTCTGGCTGGGAGGGGCGGGTTACTCGCGGCCTGGCCTTACCCCGGGGCCACGTACCTGGGTGTGGATAATTTTGTGTCTGCAGAGCGTGCTGGCTTGGCGAAAGCCTTTACCGCAGACTTTGCACACGAAGGGTCTGGCTCCGGTGTGGACAGGCATGTGGCGAGTGAGGTTATAGTGGGCATTAAACACCTAGGCAAAGACAAGAGGAGCCTTTGTCCATGTCTCACGGAAACCCTAGAACCACCACGGAAGGTCACCTAGCCTACCCCCCCCAACCAACAACCCCTTTCAGAAGCTAGAGTTCTACTTCAAAGTGATTGTCTCAACTGTCTGTGACCCCAATACTGCATGGCAGCTGTCAGCGGCACCCCATTTCACAGAACAGGAAACTGAGACCCACCTAGATACTCAGTTTGATTATGCAGGCTCTCAGTTTGGGAAAAGGGATGCTCAAAGCTGCCCCAGGGAAGCAGCCTGGTCTGCTTGCCCTTGCTTTCCCCCAGGACCCTGGACCTCACCTTGCCGCACACCTCGCAGGTGAAGTTCTTGGGTTTGCCGTCCGCAGAGCCCCCGGGTAGCTTGCTGTGGCCCTTGACGCCCCCGCGCTCGGCGGTCAGGCCAGAGTTCTCCTTGAGCACCTGTTCCAGCGGCGCCGGAAGACGCTCCTTGTGTGCATAGGGAGCCGGATGGAACTTGTCCGCGGCCAGGCCGGCCAGCTTGGCGTTCTCCAGCAGAAAGAGCTTGGGGTGCGCGGCCAGGGCTGTGGGGGCCTGCGCGTTGAGGAGGCCAGACGGGAAGAGATGGCCTCCTAGGAGGTCAGAAGGCGGGTACGCCGTGGAGTCCAGGTAGTTGAAGTAGTAGAGCGAGCCACTGGCCGGCAGCCCCACCGCCTGGTTGATGACCTGCGGCTTGATGACCCTGCCCGCGGGCAGCGCAGCCGGCGCGAGGCCCAGCTCGGCCTTGCAGCACAAGCCACAGTTGGTTTTACACACGCCGCTGGCGCCGCACACCTGGGCCCCCCCGCCGCCGCCGCCGCCGCCGCCACCACCACCACCACCGCCGCCGCCCGCCCGGAGACTGCTTTTCCAGAGCTCTGAGTAGCTGAGTAGAGTCTTGGACGGCACGTCGTAGCCCAAGGGCTGCAGGGGGATCATGCAGGGCAGCGGCGAGCAGAGGTTGAGTAGTTTCTTGCCTGGGCCGCCGTCCGCCTCCAGCGCCCCCGGCCGGGGCTCCAGGGGTACGCGGGGCTCCGATGTCTTGGCCATGATGCGCTCGATGGAGAAGGCCAGCGTCTTGGAGGTGGCCGGGGGCACCATGGTCTCCAGGGAAGCCGAGCTGGCCATGGCGCGCGGAGCCGGGCCGAGCCGGACCCGGGCTGGGGCACAGCCTCTGTCCTCTAGGTCTGCATTCCGGAAAAGGCAGGGGGGAAAACCACAATTTAATAAGCACCTAGTCGGGCCGGGTCACCCATTTGCATTCAAATAAACGCAGGCAGAACAAAGTGCACCCAAGGGAACCAAATTACTGCCTATTCACCCAGCCCGAGAGGAGTCCGCCAGCCCCTGCCCCGGGACTTTGAAGGGGGGATGAGGGGGGGAGGGCGGAGGAAGGCGGGGTAGGCGTCTCGGGGAACCCCTGCGCCCTTCCCTGGCCTGGGCCTGGCCGGGCGCAGAGCCGGACGCCGGAGGGGCGAAGTTGGGCGGCCCAGGAGCCACCTCGCGCTTACCTCTTTCCGCCACCGCCGGGGAGATGCGTTTCGAGCCATGCAGCGTCTCTTCTGTCACATTTTGATGGCAAACATCTTCCCCTCCGCGTGAGATCACTGTCTTTTACACCCAGCTGACATCACATGAAGTCACTTGAAGTGGAGTGACACGGGCGGCGGCGGCTCCCCGCGGACCTCGTGCTCCCCCGCGCCTGCGGCCGCGCCGCCGCCACCGCCCCTCAAACTTTAAAAGGAGGCAACTGGCTCCCGCGCTCCCCTCGCTCGGAAAGTGCGAGCGGCTCGCGAATCGGGAAGGAGGGGAGAGGCGCGGGGGGAGGGGAGAGTCGTGATGGTTCTGCCGGTGCGCGCGCGGGGGGGGGGGCAATCATAAACCTAGGCAGAGTTCCGTGCGTGATTAACAACTTCGGAGGCCTACAGGTCTGGGGAACGCGGCCAGGCGGGGTGGGGTGGGGGGTCCCGGTCGCGCTGTCCCCAAGGACCCCGGGGTGTCCGTCTAGTGCGCGAAGTCTCCTCGGCCTGCCGCAGGCGCGCTGGGCATCTTGCTAATAAACTGCCATTTACCCACGGAGCGCCAGCCCCGAACACGCGCAAATGATAATTACCTCATTAGGATGTGGCGCAGGGACGCGAGCGCGGCGTTTGGAGGGGGTGCTTGTTAATGGGGAAATATTAATTTATGCAAAAGCAGCGAGCTCGCCTGGGCCGGCGTCGGAGGTCGGCACAGAGCTCCGGCCGCCCGAGGACAACCTCCAGGCGTCCTAAAGAAACGGGCCGCGCCCTCGCCCGTGCGCTTCCTGTTTTCCGGTGGGTTTCCTGCCCGAGGCTAGGGAAGTATGCGGCTGAGAACTGGAGCCCTAAGAGACCCTAATCGATCAGAACTGCCGAATTGCGATCGGGTTTCCGAGGCCAGGGAGGGCTCTGCGGCTGGTTTGGGGCTGCAGAGGGCAGTTCTCCCGCTGACGGGTACTTACTGTTGGTATAATTGAGAAGGTCCAATCCCCACCTGTTTAAGGAGCAGATTGAAACAGCAGAACCTCCCCGGGATCCTATTAAAACGTTTTTCCTCCTAAGGCCATTCAGTCGAACCAATTTTCCGAAGTGATTCATAGAGCTGAATTCTGCCAAGGCAGCTCTTTCACTTTTAGCCACTAAAGCACCGCGTGGAACCGGGTTTTGTGTTTTTCTAAAATAAAGAGAAGGATTATCAGAGGGGAGAGGGAGGGGCCCAAAGGGGGGCGGGCAGAGACCTAGTCTGGCCAGAGGTACAAGCAGAGGGAAGAAAAGGCCCTTTTCTAGACAGGCCCAAGTAAGTTCGGAGGAATTCAGTGTTTTGTGCGTGGAGCACAAAAGCAGCGCGCTCCGAGCTTGGTTTGGAGGGGCTAAATTCATCTGTTTGCAGTCCGGTCCACCTCGTATCACAACAAACTGCTCAAAGACGCTCCGGCACTCTCAACAGGCCGGGTGCTCCTGGCGACAACAAAAGTGGTCGAGGCTGAGAGTTGGGGGTGGCAGCTAGCAAGACAGGGAGCGAGAGAATGAGGTTTAGGAAAGGAAGGGGGGCGCTGCGGGGATTTTTGAAAACTTTTGGCTGGTTTTGTTCGCTGGACAATTATATCTTGCCAGCCGGCTTTTGCAAGACCTCAAGCTTTGTAGCCACAACCACAGTTTAAGAGGATTACGGTGGGTATAATATGAGCAAACAGGGTTGAAGGTTTGATAGTGAATTCCAGAAATAGTGTGGATGGAGGGAAACCTTCCTTCCTAGGAACAGGTCTTGAAGAGCCGAGTGTCCGCCTTACCTCAGGCCCCTTTGGGCTATAAACCATCCCCAGAAAACCATCAAAGCACAGGGACAGGAAAGCTTAGTTCTAACCACAGGCAGTAACTCCTCTTTTCCTCTAGGATTTCACCTTCCTTCCCATCTATCCAGTTGTGGCTCCTCTGACATGCCATTTCAGGCCAGCGATGGGTATGACAGATACAAGACCAGCATATTTGGAAGGCAAAGAGAGCAGAACAAAGAGAGGTCTCTGAGGAAAAGCGCCTTGGAGAGGGCTACCATGTAGGTTCTCATTCTGCTCAGCTCTGAAACTGCCCCCCCCCATCCGGCAGCCCTGAATCTGCTTCCACACCCCGCCCCCCTCTAGATCTCTAAATTGGAGAGAGGCTTGCCACTCTGGAGGAGGACAATTCCGTAGAGCCCACTTAATTTAGGACAGCTTAGCACTTCTGAATTGTGGGCCCAGTGTACCCCAATCTTAGGTCAGCATGAACACAAGAGCTCCGGGGAGTCCCATTCCCACCAAACAGGAAACAAACCACTCACCCCAACATTGAAACCATAGCAATACATCGTAGCCTCTCAAAGTCTCAATTTCTATCCCGACTTTCCTGTGGATGGATCCTGCTCACCACCAGCATCGCACCCCAACCCGCTTTCCAAATTGGGTGATTGTTGATCTCCGAAGCAGCTGAGAGATGGGCTGGTTTGCAAGCTGCATTGGGCTGACAGGCTTCCAAAGGCTTCCTGCGAACCTGCCTCACCATCCCTAGCGCTTTTTGTGGCTGCACAAGCCATCGCTCTCTCCCCAGCACCACAAAGGAGTGCTACCTCCACAGAAAGCAAACATTTGGGTAAAAACAAGTTACCCCTAATGTGCCTCCCCTTCCAAATGTTGGGTGAATGAATACACTGGCTTTTATGAAAGTATTTAATTAGCTTCCACAAACTTCTTCCCTCGCCTGCAGATTATATTGAAGTGGAGGGTTGGAAACTATTTTACACCTTGCCACTCACATGTTAATTAATCTCTATCTAACCCTAATTGCAGTTTATTCAAGCACCGCTCAACAGCTCACCCACACAATAAACACTGTTCCTACTTTTATACATATTACTTCACGTTAACACATTGAGTAATTAACTCCAGTACCAACTAATAGTGCAAACAAATATTTTCTGTAAACGAGATGATTTCAGGCAGAATAATAGAAGTCTTGGGAACTGTGGTGCACAGTGGAGGGCGTGCTGCCCCCAACCCTCCAAATCCATTCTCCTAGGAAGCAGTTTTCAGAAGGCTGAAATGCCTTTTTATATATTTTAAAAGGATTATAGAAATTTAACAATCCCCCCCCCCAATTTTAGGAAGTTGGTGGAAGAGTTCTGTGGGATCAGGGAAGGATTTTTCTACCTACATATTTTCAGTGGACGGCAAGTGCCAAATAACAGGACAGGCAGGGCAATAGGAGGCTCGGGACTAAGCAGATATTTCAGGGATGCGATTCCATTCGGGTAACAGAAAGTTCCCTGAAGCCTCCTGCTCTAAGGAAGCCCTGTCCTTCAAAGCAATGCTTTTCAAACAGCAGTGGGTGGAGGTCACGGTGGCCTTCTGGAACTCCAGGTGGTCTCTGGAGGCAGGCAGGTGTGACTCCTGGAAGCCAGCGTCACAGTCCGCGAGACTTCCTAGGCCATAGTGGGTGCTCAGCCTCCAGAGCTGGATTCCCAGAGGCACGGGACCGGGCATCCCCAGGCCCAGCTACAAGGCGGGTTGGACAGCCCTTGGCTTTCACGGCGGGCCCTGCACTGGCCCTGGAAGCATCAGTCCATAGCTCTAGGCCTCACCTCAGGCCTCTCATTGAAGGCCCTAGCTAAAGGCCAGATGCTTTTGCTTCAATGCCACCGGCTCTCTCGGGGGTCTCAACCACCCCCAGAAGCCCTTTCCCACCCTGAACAACGGGTGCCCAGGCCCGTATGCCTGTGGTTCTGTGGGGCCTGGCTCAGGGCACCACCTCTGCAAACCACAGCACTGCAATGCCACACCCGGGCAAGCACCCAGCACACCACAGAGCTGGGATCCGGGCACCACCCCAAGGAGCGCAGGGGTTTAATTGAAAGCACAGTTTGGAGCACAGCTGGCAGCTGTCTATTGATTTTATAGGAGCTTCTCTTGCAGGAAGCATATTAAATATGACTGACCCTGCCGGAGCTGAGCCTCTCCTCCGCCCCTTCCTTGGGCCATTTCGTGGTTACTAAGCCAAACCACTGTAATGACTTTTGTTTAAAAGCACTTTTTTAAAATGCCAGAAGTCGCCCACACTTCAGGACAAATTATTTAGCTAACGCTTTGTTGCAGTACAGGCAATCTCAGGAAAATCCCTTTCCTGTGCAAACGCTCACACGTTTGTCCCACTCCCTACACCTAGGGAGGTCAGGCCAGCTTTTCCTCCGAAAGGTGCTGCGGTTCAGCCCTGACGGCTTGTGTCTCATAGTTCTGAGTGACAAGGGGCACTTGTTAAGTTTTCAAGCATCATTATTTTTAAAATCTTGTTTAAATACATAATATATCCCCTTCTGCCGCCTTCCCAGGGAGTGGGTCTGCGCAGGTTTGCCAAGTTTGGGGACTTTCACCCGGGGCGGATTTGAAGTCCTTCACCAGCATGGCGGTGGCTTCTTGGGGTGGTGGAGGGGCGTCAACACCAAACCGCAGGAACTTACTGGGTTTAAGGAGTGCGCTTCCCTCTCTAGCCCTCTCCATGTCCTCCCTCGCTCCCTCTCTCCTCTCTCTTTCCTTCCTTCTTTCTTTCCTTCCTTTCTTTCTTCTTTCCCTCCCTCCCTTA